TTTCTCTGTTATGAATTCAATAAATTGCTATGTTTTGGCTGTTATGGTGTGCCACTATACTTCGTGTATCATTATTATTGCTTGCATACCTTATTAAATAAACATTGGCCCGAGAGGTTACACTGACGGTATCTGGTATACTGGCCAGACAAAATTAGCCCTCAACAATTTTCATTCATAGACTATACAGAATACCTAGGCCTAAGCAGATCAGAGTTTTTGGACAATAGACACATTTTGCATACAAAAATACCTTTATTTTGCTAGTTTACACAGCAAGTTTAGTCAATACAAAATATAGCTGACCATACACTAGTAGAGTTTCATTTAAATGTATCATTTTAAAAACTTTAATTTGATTTCCTAATTGTTAGTGGGTTTTTAACCACAGTGACCAGAAAATTCAAAGGAGCAGATTTGAAAATCTTTCTTGAATAAACACATTTTTAACAATGTGTGGTTTTCACTCAGGAAATTACATTCATCCTAAAATCTAAAGCTAAAAGTAAATTAGATTTTGAACTACTTTTGAATGACCATCAAATCTTTGGAGTGTGGGAGGAAACCAGAGTACAACCTTGCACTCAGAAGGAGAACATTCTAACATCATGCAGATAGTGTCCTGACTGGGAATTTATATAGGAGACCCCAGTGGGGGTCTAATGCACAGTCTGCTGGTGTTGGGGCCCATGAACTCCCATTGGAGTGTTTGTCCTTCTCCTTCTCTCTGTTGGCAGGACAAATAGTTACAGTCCAAACAGAATGTTCTAAAAAAATCCAGGTCAACCCTCTATGTGGCAGCAAAGTTTGCAAGCAACCAGTAGCAAGGAGGTTGGGTGAGAGGTCACACCACACACTGTCTCCTCTATCAAGCTTGCTCAGCTGTATTCTCAGCATCTCCCTCTCTGGAGTCTGCAGTCATGTCCCGGGCAGGCCCTTATGGATCAGAAAAGTCCTTCATTCTGTTAAGCACATTATTGGCACATGTGGCTCTTCCTGCAGTTCCACTCAGTACAGCAGAATATTCCTGCAGCTTGTCCCTTTGTATCCTTGGCTTATGGAAAAATGTAACACTTTCTCTGATAAGATGTGTTTTCTGTAGGCATATTATTTTGATTTATTTGTGTGATGTTCTCATCCCTCCAACATTCAAGGAAAACCATAGGTATTAGAGGTCATCATTTACATTATTGCTAATGCTTGATAAAAGATTGTAACCACCCGTCCTATATCTGATTACCTTTAAAGTGTGGAATAAAGGGTGAGAGCTGTCAAAAAATGATGCAGTCTGGTAACTGACCTAGGTACTATGAACAACAATGAAACCACAAATCAAATATAAACATCAAATCGTACCAATGGGGTATTACCTGCATAAACATATTCCACGTATTTCGATAATTTGACTTAATAGGAGCCTGCAAAGAGTAGAAAATGTAACCGTAACACAAGTTTGCAACAGAACCATAAGCAATAATCTTGAAAGCTGGAAGTGAAGACGTATAATAATAATCTGGGCCATTAACATAAGTTAATTGAGAGTTCAGAGATGAGCAATATAGACTTTTAGTCGTCTTCCCCAGTGTCATTGAAACTGTATTGACCGTGACAAATGTCCATCAACCTGTAATAAAAAATGTTAGACACAACAAGGATTAGAAAGGAATAAACCACTGGGGGTATCAGTGTGCCCAAATGTTTGCTATGGATATAGTGCCTATATGGCATCAATACAATATTAGAAAACGCTCAAAATTTGGAAGACAATACATTGTACATGAGCAATGAGGCACAAAAAGCCATAACTTTGGTCTTTTATTTTTGTAGATGTATACTGTATTTATGGCTTAAATATAAAATGCATTAGTCTGTTACGGTGAATTTATGTTATTAATCTCAGTATTGACATATCAGTTGTTGTGATTGAGCTGACCACACACACTTTTCAATTACGAAGAGCTGCATGGATAATTTTAAGTGAAAGCAAGAGTACGTCCATAAGCTGTGTCATCTTTTTACATCATTCAGCTATAAATGGATGCAGGTCAATCAGAAAAAGAAAGGCACATTTAAATACCATTAAATGGTAAGCAGCAATCTGATGTTGAAATTCCTCAGAGATTCTTCAAAGGTACAGTGATACTAAACAATACAACTTAAGTACCACAGACTTTTTGTGGTTGTAAGGTAAATTATAAAATTGTGGTCTTAAAGTCCTGCATTATTTATAAAATGTGTTTTATTTTAATGGTATAGGACAGAGAATTTTCTCATAAAATAATACGCCTTCCATACCAGCCTGACATTGCTTCAAATAAATGGATCTTGTGTTATGCTAATACCAGCTCATATATCCTTCACAATGGAGCAAGTGCTTCAAAAAGAGAGAGTTTGAAAAATTTTCTCTTTCACAATTCAAATGTCTTCTAAAAAGATGATATAGAAACATCAGCAAATTGGTGTCATTTACATGTAAGTTTTAAAATATCTTAATATTGACCAGTTGAGGACATTGAGCATGCTACACATGTGCAGTAACATGGTCATGTGTAGTACACCGTGTCCTTTTGCCCTGTTGATGCTCTCCTCTTTGTATTTTCTGGCAGCCAAGAGTTGTGCTGTGTATAAACTCTTTGCTGCCAATGTAAAAAAATTGACCTTTTGAAAGTTTTCTTAAACCTTGTTCATATATGAGATAAATAAAACAAAATTAAACAAAATAAATTAAACTAAGTAGCATTGATACTTTTGTATTTATTCTGTTTCATCAATCTTCAAATCAATGGGATGAACTTAAATCTGCATATGATAACAGGTAAAACAACCTGATAAGTATTTTTTTAAATGAAAATAGTTCCTATTTATTACCGTATTTTTCGCCGTATAAGACGCAATTTTTCTTCCCCAAAACTGGGGGGGAAATGTCAGTGCGTCTTATGGGGCGAATATGGAGCGGCCGGTCCGGTATTTCCACCGCCGCCGTGTCAGAATACCGGGCCGGCCGCTCAGCTCTGCAGCGTGACCTTACCTGTTCCTCTATCCAGCGGCTTGCTGTCTTCCCGGCTTCTGTAGTGTGGGCGCTGGGCATGACAGCCGGGTGCCAAGTGCGCATGCGCAAGAAGCGGTGCTTTTTGTGAATGGTAAGGCGGTACCTGGGACACATGACAGATCCCGGAAGCCGCCGGACCAATCACAAAGCGCAAGTGCTTCTCGCTCATGCGCACTGGGCACCCGGCTGTCATGCCGAGCGCCATTACAGAAGCCGAGAAGACAGCGCGCAGCTGGATCGAGGAACAGGTAAGATCAAACAAAAACTGCGGAAGTAAGAGCGGGTACCTGTCAAATTCAGGTACCCGCTCCCCACCTCCCCAAAGGTCAGCAGTCATCTGTACTGTCCGCAGTCTCTAGTCATCCCTGTGCTGTCCGCAGTCTCTGGTCATCCCTGTGCTGTCCGCAGTCTCTGGTCATCCCTGTGCTGTCCGCAGTCTCTGGTCATCCCTGTGCTGTCCGCAGTCTCTGGTCATCTCCTGTACTGTGTCTGCAGTCCATTAGTTCAGAATTTTTTTTTCCCCTGTTTTCTGCCTCTAAAACCTAGGTGCGTCTTATGGTCAGGTGCGTCTTACATGGCGAAAATATACGGTAATCTCTTTGGTTACCCTAATTAACCCTAATTACCAATTATCTCGTATTTCCCCTTCTCTTTTTTTTGTGACTGCACTGTCTCTACTGAAAAAAATATACCACACTACTATATATAGGGGCCCCACAGATGTGCGTGTACTTAAATTCCCTATGGGCTAACAGTTATATCCCTCCTGCCCAGTGACTAAATCATAAATAGGGAAACCAATTTATACAGCTGCGTGCTCAAACAAGAATTGTGCTATAAAATGAATAATAGCAAATATAACAATACCATCAAACTATACGTACAGTGCACTTATAAGCAAAAGAATATATATATATATATATATATATATATATATATATATATATATATATATATATAAAAGTCCCAATCAGCGTGCAAACATATAAAAGTTCCAATGTGAAAAAATCCCCATCCGCATCCAATGTGAATACAATAGTTACTCGTCTTATCCATAGCAATCCTCTGTGTTAAGTGCTCCAATTAGTGCTCCCCCTCCAGAGCCACACTCACCACAAATATTTGACCACCTTGAATGGTAGGTCAAATAGCACATTTTATGTTGCAGCACTCTCCTGCAGTAAGTTTGCCATCTGTATGATCTTGATACCTCTATTCACTGGTAACAGACCATGGACTGGTAGAGGACCACGCTCCTGGTGACGTCATGCGTCGAAACACGTAGGGCGGGGCCTGATAGCAGTACGCTTGTCCTCTGAGAAGGAATTGCTTTGTGCTGGGATTTAAAGTGCCATACACATGTTTTTTATGTAACTGCAATTTTAAGTGTTTTTTACCTATCAAATACAGTGTTACGCTATGGTAGTTTCACTTTGATGTTTTTACGGTGGTGGAGGAGTACTGTGGATGTTCTGAAGGAGTTTTCACAAGTGATTGATCTTGAGGTGTTTTCACATATAGAGTCCATTACCAGTGGATAGAGGTATCAAGATCATACAGACGGAAAACTTGCTGCAATACTCTAAGGTACCTAACTCAGATTCATACATACACATACTAGGGACAATTTAAACAGGATCCAATTAACCTACCAGCAAGTCTTTTGAGTGTGGGAGGAAACTGGAGTACAAGGAGGAAACCCTCACATGCACAGTGAGAACATGCAAACTCCATGCAGGTGGTGTCATGGTTGGGATTTGAACCAACAACCCTAGTACTGCCAGGTGGAAGTACTAACCATTTAGCCACTATGCTGCCCATACATAGGTAGATACATCTTAACCACCTCCCGCCCGCCATATAGTAATATGACGGGCGCAAGGTGGTTCTCTCATTCTGGGAGGACGTCATATGACGTTCTCCCATTCTCACTGCGCATGCGCGGCTCAGGGAGAGTGCAGCGCAGCGATCGGCGGTGCGCTGTGTCCCTCGGACACGGCGGATCACCGATCACGGAAAGAGCCGAAGATGTCGGCTCGGTCATGTGATCCGCTGTGTCCAATCGCAGCTGATCACATGTAAAACAGGGAAATGCTGGTAATCGGCTTTCCGCAGAGGGGACATGTACACTGATCATCAGGGCACTGATGATCAGTGTGCCCTGATGATCAGTGTGGCCCCAGAAGTGCCACCTGTCAGTGTCCATCAGTGCCTTATGTCAGTGCCAGTTCCCATCAGTGCCACATATCAGTGCACACCAGTGCACATCAATGCCACATATCAGTGCCCATCTGAGCTGCCTTTCAGTGTCACCTATCAGTGCCAGTCAGTGCCACATATCAATGCCAATCAGTGCCACATATCAGTGCTGCCAATCAGTGCCACATATCAGTGCCAGTCAGTGCCGTCTCAGTGCCAGTCAGTGCTGCCTATCAGTGCGCATCAGTGCCGCCTATCAGTACGCATCAGTGCCGCCTATTAGTGCAGTCAGTCAGTGCTGCCTATCAGTGCCATATATCAGTGCCATGTATCAGTGCTGCCTTTCAGTGTCCATGAGTGATGCCTGTCAATGCCCATCAGTGCCAACTACCAGTGCCTCCTCATCAGTTTCCATCAGTGCAGCCTATCAGTTCCCATCAGTGCAGCCTCATTAGCGCACATCAGTGAAGGAGAAAAATCACTTATTTACAACATTTTATATAACAAAAACTAAGAAAAAGCATTTTTTTCAAAATTTTCAGTGGTTTTTGGTTTGTTTTAAGAAAAAATAAAAAACCCAGAGGTGATTTAATACCACCAAAAGAAAGCTCTGTCACAAAAAAATGATAAAAAGTTCATATGGGTACAGTGTTGTTTGACCACGCAATTGTCATTCAAAGTGCGACAGCACTGAAAGCTGGAAATTGGCCTGGGCAGGAAGGGGGTATAAGTGCCCTGTAGGCTAGCGGTTAAAGAATGCTGAGTAAAAAGTCCCATAGCTGAAATATAAAAATGGTACTGGCCCATAGGACTGTACATATGTGATAGCTGAAGTGCTTAATAAAGAAAAATGTCTTGCCTTCCTCCTCTTACTATTTACAAGGCTAAAGTAGGCATTATTCTTTCCTTGAATAAAATCCAATGGAAGATGTGGGGATGTTAATAATAAATATGCCGGTAATTGCCCAGACGTGTTTCATCCCAAAATGTACTCACAACCAAGAAATAAGGAAAAGAAACAGGAGTTCAAAGATAACTACCAGGCATATAAGACCAATATCACATTTAAAAATTTTTATAACAAATATCTTTCTTTAAAACATCAAAATAAAGGTCATAAAAATAAAAAATAAATAAACTGTGTTTTGTAGTAGATTAATTTCTTCAGGCCTGTTACTGTATTTTAGGACAGGCATATATTGTACATCCATCCAAAGTAAACATACAATGCTCAAAAAAATTAATGGGACACTTTTTAATCAGAGTATAGCATCAAGTCAATTAAACTTCTGGGATATTGATCTGGTCAGTTAAGTAGCAAAGGGGGTTGTTAATCAGTTTCAGCGGCTTTGGTGTTAAATGAACAACAGGTGCACTAGATGGGCAACAATGAGATGACCCCCAAAACAGGAATGGTTTTACAGCTGGAGGCCACTGACATTTTTTTTCTCCTCATCTTTTCTGACTATTTTTCACTAGTTTTACATTTGGCTAGGGTCAGTGTCACTACTGGTAGCATGAGGCAATACCTAGACCCTACAGAGGTTGCACAGGCAGTCCAATTCCTTCTGGATGGCACATCTATATGTGCCATTGCCAGAAGGTTTGCTGTATCTCCCAGCACAGTCTCAAGAGAATGGAGGAGATTACAGGAGACAGGCAGTTACTCTAGAAGAGCTGGACAGGTCTGTAGAAAGTTCTTAAACCATCAGCAGGACCAGTATCTGCTCCTTTGTGCAAGGAGGAAAATGATGAACACTGCCAGAGCCCTACAAAATGACTCCTGCAGGCCACTAGTGTGAATGTCTCTGACCAAACAATCAGAAACAGATTTCATGAGGGTGGCTTCAGGGCCTGACGTCCTCTAGTGGGCCCTGTGCTCACTGCCCAGCACCACAGAGCTCGATTGGCATGTGGCGAGAGTATGCAGGCAATTCCTGGAGAATGAAGGAATTGATAACATTGAATGGCCCCCACCCTCACCTGATCTAAATCCAATAGAACACCTTTGGGATATAATGATTCGGTCCATCCGACAACGCCAAGTTGCACCTCAGACTGTCCAGGAGCTCAGTGATGCCCTGGTCCAGATCTGGGAGGGAATACCCCAAGACACCATCTATCATCTCATTAGGAGCAAGCCCCAACATTGTCAGGCATGCATACAAGCACGTAGAGCCCATAAAAACTACTAAGTACCATTTTTGAGTTGCTGCAATAAAATTTCAGTGAAATGGACTAGCCTGCTGCATCATTTTTTCTCTTTGATTTTCAGGGTGTCTTTGAATTCAGTCCTCTGTAGGTTGATAATTTTAATTTCCATCAAACGATGGGGCATCCTTACATTCCTAACACTTTACCCAGTCCATATCAGTATAGATATCCAGCATGATATTTTTTTTCCCATTGAGATCTGATGTGTTTCCAAAGTGTTCCTTTAATTTTTTTGAGCAGTGTACAAAGAAGTGTTTTTGTCAATAACTATACAGAAAACTGAGAAAAATATATACAATAACATGTATCAAAAGTGTACAAGTACATGTAGGAAAACAACAAAAAGACCCGAGAGAGAGAAGAAAAGGAACTAAAAATGCAACACACTCAAATACACATGGTGAGCTAGGTGTATCAGCTACATCATCCCAGACTATGGGGAGCCGTCAAGAGACTTAGCAGGGGAAGAAGGAACAAAAAGACTGAAAACAATAACTTGTCTACAATTAAATCAAGGATGAGTATGAATAAATATCCAGGTAATCACCTGTTGGGATCAAACTGTAACCCATAATCCCCACCTCACCATAAGTATCCATACCAGATCAAAATCTCCTAGGAGAAAGTGTCTCCATATTTCATCCATCTAAACCATCCAACCTGAGCCTCCTGAGAACCACCCCCAAATCCACCACAGAGGGAGGCTCTAGCCAACAATATTAATTAAAGATTCTCTATAAAGTGGGGGAGGTCTCCTCTGCACTGGCAAATCAACCCCACAAACGTTGACCCCCATCCCTGCCAGCCAGTGTTTCCCTCCCTCCCTCCCTCCTAGATTGTGAGCTCGAAAGAGCAGGGCCCTCAATCCCCTCATGTTTTGCATTGCATTGGTATTGTTCTGTCACATGTTCTGTCCCCCTTTGTAATGTACAGCGCTGAGCGAACTATTGGCGCTTTATAAATACTGTATAAATAATACTAATAATATAAGGAAAATGCTGCTGTCCAGCAGGGAATCACGCTACCGAAAGTGATCCAAAACATGTCAACCGCCCAGACGGCATAGCCAGAAGTGATGTAAACACCAAACTGGAAATGATGTAATATATGTCTGCCCTCTACAAAAAATCCTACATAGTGTTAAAGTTAATGGAACAACATCTTCACCTTGGAGGTTGCAGCCCCAAAACAAATTAGTCTCATAAGGATTGTTTAAAATAATTGCTGCTGAGAATTTTGGTAGATTTCTAGGCTGTTGTTCTGAATTGAGTAAGCTATTTGATAGGAAACTTTGTTGTCAATGGGATTATTTACTGATCCAGAGTTCGGAGGCATATCTGCTAACCATTTCATGTCAATTGAGAGAAAAAAAAACAAACTATTTTTAGTGTGAATAACATCATATTGCAGGATCACCAGATTCCTTGACTTCCTGGCTGCAGCCACTGTTACCCCTATAATGATAACTATACATGAGCTAGTGAAGCCAATAACGGACCTGTTAAGCTGGATAAAACCAGAGCTGCAGTAGAGAATAATGTAATTACAGTGCTCCAGAAGCCTATACCCTAATAGATACACTGGAAAATGAAACACTATTGTAGGACACTTTTTTTAGTTAACTGTTAGCTTTTATCATCTTTTAACTTCAGGACGGAATAAATACAACAAAGTGCTATTCTCAAAGTAATGCACCCTTCTAAATAGACTACTCTGTTTTACACTTCAAAGTACTAGAATATATCCAATTGTATCTTGGTGTATAATAACCTAATTGTGTACACTACATTATGTTCCTCTGTCATGTTCACAGAAGATAAGAGACATGATATTGAATTGGTCTATAGCACAAAATTGAAAGAAACTGTGGATGGCTTATAAAAATAGATCCTTGGTTGTCTGTTAAGCCAAATCAGAGGGTCAAAGGCACAGTGACAGATTGCAGAAAGAAATGCTATTTTAGGTTAGTGAACCTAGTCTTGGAATAATTTTTGTGCTTGCTAACGTACCAGTGCAAAGCAGCAGATAATGCTGACAGTAGATTGCAGAGCTATTGTAGTCTGGGAGTGAGAGCAATAAATCAAATCCTGTCACTTGGATCACCGGATATAGTGGGATAATTGGGCTCTATTGGGAAGGAAAGGACATCCAGTCAGTATAGTACAGACTTCATTTTTCATGGGGAATTAAACTTTGATTAAAGCAACTTTCTTCCGAGAAGAAATTGAGATTTTATAACAACATACACAAATAATAAAACAAAGAATTCCTGTTTTAAGATAAACCAATGTAGAGTACTTTAGAAATTTCCTTCTTCTGCCACAGTTATACACCCATTACAGTTTTTTATGGGTTTTTTTTTTTTTTTTTTTTAAGAAACAGTTTAAGGTTTATCTGATTATATTAGAAGACATTACATACAATTTGACATAATGTATTCCATCTATGTCTTATGAAGCTTCACTTTGTAAAGAATACCCAATCAGGTGCAAGGAAAATAAAAAAAACAGCATTTTGCTTGCACATGATTAGATAATGGAAATCAACAGAGCTTCACCACATTCACTAAACTCTGGGGAAAAATGACTGCATTTGCAAACTGCACACTATATTTGCCTTTAGTAAATCAACCCCACAGTGTTTGAGTGTTTGTTAATGGCATGATAGTAAAGCCAATCACATTTCGTTGACAAAATTGGGTTCTCTTAGTCATACCTACCAATTACTCTCCAGTATATGGGACTGAGAGTGAGGTCAGTTCAAAATAGCTCATTGCAGGGGTTTTTTTAATTCTGTATAATACATAAACAGACTTATTGGAATAAAAAAAAAAATATATATATATATATATAGTAAGAGTTTTAAGACTTTTGAAATATTCCTCTATTGCCATTTTTTGTCGACACTTTATACTGGAAATGTTCTTTTAAATGGTGTTTGACAAAAATATGCAAAGTTAGATTCTACTTTTGCTTATCTGGGTGAACACAATAGTCCTGTATTACCATATGCAACCACAGTTCACTTTGATGGTTCTTCTCTTTCAGAAGCATATGC